GATATTTTGGGCTCAATGCTAGGCCGTTGGCTGACGCATGGTTAAACTTCAAGGTCAGACCGTAGGTTTGATTTGAAATGGCAGACCGAACCAATAACCGCCCATTAATAAGCTCGATTATTTTCTAGGAAAATTAAGAACTGCCGCTCACATATTGTAGACCAAAATTATCATTGGTCAAAATGTTGCTGAAAGGAAAGGCCTATTTTTGCTCCAGCCAACATACGATCCGGATTTTATCATTGTGGAATAGTCTAACGATTCAGCCTTCCAACAAGATTCGTTAACATGACTAATTTATGCTGTCTTTTGTCCACATTAACATCCCAGATTGGCATAGTTTGTTTCTAATAGGGATTACGCGAATAGTGTTACCCAACCACATGAGGGTTAATGAAACGTAAACCGGTTTGGTGGATTAAGCAGCAAGCGGTGAATGATTTGCTATCTCAGGGGGGATTTTCAGGCGTTTTATCTCTTCTTTCCCGATTTTATTGGGCTAAAAAATTAAACTTCCACCTGACAGTGTGGATTCTGCTCCATAAGATACCCTTTAACTAATCCTTGCTGTCTAATTTGAGCCCTGTTTGTTTCCGCGTAATTTTTATGCCTTGCTGCATTCAAATTGTGACTTCTAGCCTATAATGTAATCGACTACATGTAAGGAAAACTGCTAGCTAAGAATGTGATTGTTGTTTTGGGTTTCGGCCTACACAGACAATCGCTTTTACAAATTGTTGCTTGCACTCATGTACGCTGTTCCATTCTCGGTTAGGTGAAAATCTTACATCGGTAAACAGTATATATATTTGGACTGATTCGTTTTTATAACAGCCAAGAAAAGTTGGTGAGCATATGATAGTTTAATCACTGGAATGTGTAAGCGATACCAATGAACTTAGGTATTTAATGCAAAATTTCGTAACACATTTTAGTGTTTGCCTGCGCTCCACGGTTTCCAAAACAGATGATTCAATCACATTGATGAGTAATGACACTGGAGATTAAAAAATTCCTTCTTACAAACAATGAAGAGGAAACGTGCTGACATTCACATGCAACTTTCGCCTTAGTTCATTCAGTCTCTGCTTCAATGTTGATCAAAAGCCATTCAAACGTGTGGGATTGCATTACGGAACTTGAGCACCACCTCACAAATTGAGTGAAACTGCTATTAAGTCAGCCATTGCAACGGGGAAAGAGAAATACCCAATTAGTTTCGGAAGTGTAGCATACCAATTCGCCGAACGTTCGAGCTTTGGTAGGTAGCCAAATTATGAATGATTGATCCACCATCAATTTACAGTGCAAGTGGTGAAAACCTCAGTTATTTTATTACATCGCATTGTGATGGAAAACTTCCATAAGTGACATCAATTCGTTTTAAAAGGTTTCAAGGCCAACTGAAGTAATAGTGGAGATGCGTAAAGGTATATGCGAAGCGCATATTATGGTGTTTATAAGAAAACTAGATTACCATGAACTTTGAATACTTTTTAGCAAATAAACTACGCCTTCATCTGTCGCTGACTTCCACGTGGTGTAACAGAAACCTGTTCTTGATGAAGTGAGAGTTGTGTGATGCTCTCATTTCCTGGTGAAAAATGTCATCACCCCACGTTCCTGTAATAATGAGTGGCAACTTTAGACGTCTCGACCTGAACATTGCTGCTAATTTTCCAGTTCCATCCACTAAGAAAACACACCAAGTTTACCGAGCCCTTCTGAAGCAACCTTTAAAACTAGCTGTAGGTAGTTATGGGTTTTTTAGAATACACAGTTACACCAAGCTGGTTGGAAACAACACTTCTTTCTCTCACAGCACTTGATTAATTACCTCAGAATAGGCTTTCATACTCCTCGACGCGTAAGTTTAATAAGGGAGTTCAACGTCATTGAACCTCCTACTGGTTAGGCCCGATAGATTGTACAGTTTCCCAGCGAAAATAAGTCATTTTTAGGCACGCACTCAAATGTGATACTGTGCAAGTATCAGTTGTGTCTTCATACCAGAATGAGTCACCTCATCTTGCACACTGAAGTAGACATTAAATGTGTAAAGTCGAATGTGATCATGGGTACAAAACTCCTTAATCAAATGACATATATATGAGAGTAGTTTCGTAACCCAAATCTTCACTCAAACACTGGGAAACGTGCTTTGAGAATTTCGAGAGGAAAGAACTGAAAGTTTTTACTTTTTGCTCCATTTGTGGGGAAGACTTTTTTACATTTTATCATTTCATATGAGTTACCTTTGAGCATATTTCAAGTCATGGAATCATCCCTCATTGTATCTGTCACCTGCTAATTACATGACGAGTTGCAGCTGTTAGCACTGAGGTCGTGGTGTAGAGAACTTACTATTCCGCAATTCTACCTAACTAGTCACCACTTGCTGACTAGTTTTAGACTGTCACTGTGGTAGTATACACTTTTAGTTATCAACCATTTATTCTCACCAGCTCTGCTAGGATTCCGGATTGTAGAAATGCGTTAAGTTAAGCTGAAGTTCTGCGATCAGAATTACTTTAAGACACTGAAAGACCTGTGCATTATGCAGTTTGCAGATTACTATAGTATAAAAATTAAGCTTAGGTAAATACAAAACCAGTGGATCTTTCCTCCGGAATGAGTGAAGTACGCCGGAACGCAACACCATGATGACTTAATGCTTTTGTAATACCAGGGTTTGCTTACATCTCAGAAGCGCAGCACGCACAATTTTCTTCGCATTCTTTGTTGTTAACTACACAGTCGGGCGCACTACGGGTTATGATCCACGCAAACACGTTGAATCACATGGAATTTAGCAGTTACATTAGACTAAGCTACATGCATGCTGTGCGGTAGGCCGTTGGAACTATTCCAAAGTACAATGCAGGACATTCAATATTACACATCCACTGAGATCGACAGGCACCACCTAACCGATGGAGACTGCGTAAGGAGGGCAGGCCAGCGTATCTGTCACAGTTGACATGATACGCTGACCTGAAATATTATTTCTTAAGAACAAATAAAGTTGTTTACATCACAAACAACTTCAGCCTGCTGCACATTTAAAATTTCGCACCACCTCAATAATTCCGAATTTAATTTTTCAGAAACCAGTTAGACCTACTCTTTGTCGAAGTAGTATTTCTTAGGGTATCTACTTGTTATATGAATCCATTTGCGTCTGCAAAGTCTTCGAAAACGGATGGTGTGTAGTGACATGTTTTGGAAGTTCCACTTGGGACAAATTGACGTTTTACTGAGTTCTGTTTTGGTTTCAAGTTATTTCCTAGAAGTTAGCACCGATTATCAGGTAGGTATGTAAAAGTCGCCGGAAGTAAAACAAATGGCAAACAATCTCACTACGTTGGATGTGGCTTCCCACAGCTGCGCGATAAAAAGTGAAAATTACACACGTTCGTGACGTGCTATATTCAACCGAAGAATGCATAAATTATTACGTAACAAAACAGCAATGACGATTTTTCATGGTAATATGGGAGGGAGTTGATAATTTTCAACTGAGATTTTCTCCTGTCTGTGAAACCAGTTCGTACCGGTTAGTGAAACTTTCAATTGTGAAGTGTTCAAATACTGGTCAGAAGTTTTAGGGAGGGGAGCGCTGCTTATAGTGAGGTGAGCAGCGTTCTTCAACTGTTCACTATAGACTGGTTTCATTTACGATACTAAATCCTAATTAAAAGATAACGCTTGTGACTCGTGATTCAGTTGCCTAAAAGTCCAAGGAAAATTTTGAATTGCTCTTAAGATTTTTGCAGAAACTACAATACCGTTATCCAGAATAATGTGTGAAGTCTGTCGGCGCTTCAACGTCGACATTTGTTCGACAAATTTAAATGCATGCTGGACAAACAAATCCAGACCCCTACGTGGACTGTGTGGCTTGTACTTCCATTTAAATAGTAAATATTTACAACATTCACGGAAACTAAGATCCCTGTGCAATTCAAACGAGTGGTGCTCATGGATTGTATTGTGATCTTAAGGAAATGTGACCAAAACCGGCCTTGTCCTTGACTCATACCAGTTTCTCTTGAATCGTACAGCTCACCGATAAAATGCTACATGATCTAGTTCATTCTGATTGTAGTACTTCCAGACCAAAGCTTCCAAAGCATATTTCACTTAGTCTATGAGTAGTGTTCGATAACATCGGGGTATTCTTTCTCTTTATCGTTCAATAACCCTTGTAATTTCTGTAATGTCGAGCGCCTGATTTTGTCCGAAGTATTGTCCGGCGTTCTTTGATCCTTTGAGCCTATTGTCTTTTTAAATTGTATGACTAGTCAGGTTCCTCCTCACAACACCTCACTTGGGCAACACAAACATTTTGGTTCAGGTGATTTTTGTTTTTATATGGAGGAAGATACTCTCAAGAGCTCATGCATCGAAGTGGTAGTACCAAAATATAGACTGCTAATTATCCGGACAAAATTCGACTGTGTAACTATATTCTTACCCATGATCAGATAGTTCCCATAGGTGGTTAATGTACTTTACAGTACAAAGGACGAGGGTTATCAAAACCGACGAAACAGTGTGTTTTGGGTTTCACTAAGACTAGAGGCTCGGTCGTTGCAGATGTCCACACAGTCCGGATGGACGCGAATTCTTCATGATGGAAGGTCCATTCATGTGTTACTAAGTGTAATCATGAAGAAAAAAGTGTTCGTTCTTACTAAACAGTATTCAGAAACGTAATGCGGTTCCATCTAGCCCAAGCAGTCTGCGGAGTTCTCGTGGCAGTAATTGCATTTGAATCCAACCATGGAAGGCACTGCTTTCGCGGTGCTAATAAGATTAATACTACGGAATACTTGCAGCACATACCACTGTTCTTGGGCATGGGGTGTCATTGGCAAAATTTTCTATCTCCTTCGGTAGTTTAACAAAGCTGAGCTCTTCCTTTAGTTAGAGAAGAAACTGAAAATAAAACTGAGCTAACAGTGAGGCCCCGCCAACATCTTCTGAGGGAATGTCTTCGCCATAAACATTTTACCTCAGTTGAAGCCATAGATCTCAAGACAATCAGCACAATATGCCGTCATAATAAATATAACAGAGGCATAACAACATGTGTTATCGCTAAGTTAACCAGTGTTTGACCAGTTAAACAGTTTGTTTCTTTCTGTGGGACGGGGAACATTTAGAAATAAGGGGATAGTTGAAATGGTTATTACTGGATGCAAAATCACCATCAGCAAAAAATATGGTAATTCACCTATTGTGCAAGAACCACTTCATCTTCCGAGGTCTGCCAGAACAAATATGCTCGGTTGTATAGTTCGAACTGGAAGGACATATTAGGAATAAAGGTCTGCGTGATCCAGTACGAACCATCCACGACCATTACTTGCCAACAACCACCAAAGGTTTTATCTGCAAATGACTTCAGGTTTTCTGTCAAACGTCCAAGCTCTTCCGAAGTCTGAGCGCCCGGTGCGATTTGTATCGTTTCACGAGCAATTTTGATCTGATCTTCCAGGGACATATTAGCTGAGATGACAACGATTTCTGGAGGAAGGCTTGGAGGTGCTGCATGAAGGTCTTTGTGTTCGCGAAAATCAGTGCTGTGGATTTTGGAAAAAGATGGTATGGTATAGAATCCTACCCTGGGATTTGAATGGGAATTATACGAATTAAAAGTAATAACAACAGCTGTGGTCGCACCCAAAACTCCTCCCTTATATGGTGTGTTTGAAACCTGAGTGAAAAAAACGTCATCCAGTGTTGCGAATTTACTCATCTTCCATTTCGATCTGCGCGTGAATGAACAAGTGAAGTTGACGGAAAAATCACTTTGTTGCATCATCCCACTTGTAACCCCAGGTATGTGTGCATGTGTGACACTAGGGAATCAATTTTCACTAACTACGGGTTCTTAATCAAGGCCGGCAAAAACGGTGTTGGTGGCTGCGCTAACTTTTAAGTGTTAACTTTGTGGGCGCATTGCTATCGGATCACTGAGCAAAGAACACCTCAAGGGGACCATCTCTTATTCAGAACCATGTGGACAAGAAACAGCTGAACTCACATTTCTGCCGGTTTCAATCCCAACTTGTCGCAGAAAGATTCAATCGTAATTGAACCGGTATTGTCTGGATCGAACAATTGTTTCCATTTCTTTAAAGGAAAAGAATACAACAAACTTATCACTAGGCAACCCGAGGCAACTAAACGTAATAAGAACGTCAAGTTAACCGATTGTCCAACCGGTACTTCAGTTAACATCTCGGATAACCAGTTGACATCATTCCACTCGAAGTTGATGCTAGTACAGGTTTAAATTAAAAAAAGTGGCTAGAAATTTACACTGCAAATTTTCCTTTTTCCAACACCATCTACTGTGATAAGAGTAAGCAATGAGATATTTATGTACGGCTTTTCATCTCTGGGATTCTTTACGTAAAGATGGTGACCTATGTGGATTGATCAAACTAACATTTGGAATCACATGATTTATTGCAATCTCCAAACACCATGTTGGATCTCACCTCAATCATAGAAGGATCCAGCTTATTCTCCGCAACATACTGTTCTAGTTCCGGATATGTGATTACATTAGTTCCATCTTTGTCTATGGAAACGAATATGTCAATAAAGCTATCCATCCTCGCGGTGTTTTTTTCCTTTCAGGAACTGACGTGATCCAAATAGTTGGTCTTTCGGAATATATATGCACTGGCAGACCAAGCTAAGCTAGGTTTCATTGCGTAGATCTATTCGATTGACTGTCGCATGAAAGCGTGTGCTTGAAGCATGTATCACTCGCACTCGTATACTAAATCACGTGCGGTATAAAAAGTGGTAATTGTGAGCATTGAAGAAACACAGTTTGCTTTGGTAGTGACATGAAAAACCATGTGCTTTCTGAGTGTCGGTCGGCACGAGTTCAACGACAGGTACTTGGCATTCCAAAAAGAATTTCATGAAAACTGTCTTGCGTCTGGCTCGAGCCACATGGAGTTGTTATCCTATGAGCCATGTATTTTTGACGTAGGGCAGTATTTCTGTTTCCGTTCGTTTCCGTGAACTATTTAATAACATGGAAGAAAAAGCTCAGCAGGACTACAGGACACAGAGCGTGTTCATCCGCATCCTGGTGCATATATGACTCTCAGTTCATCGCGCAATCGCATGTCTTTCTTTTACCACGATGTTTTCAAAGGCACAATCTAGAAGCACGACTATTTTTCCGTTATTTCAATCAAATGGATGAAAAAAGTCACATAATATAGCAAATATACAGTATGTGACAATAAACAAAGTTATAAAAAATGCGGACAAATCAGTTTATAATGCTGAGGCATGTATGCGTTTACGTGTGCTAATGTGCTTCAAGTACAATCAAGTTTATTATCCCATAGAGCATGTAAAGCAATGCAGGCTGATCTGACACGCGTCTCACGCCGAACAAAGATTGATTTTCGGTTAACCTGTGAATCGAAACAGCTGGTCCTCTGCACCGTCGATCTATTTAAACACTGCATAAAACCAACGTGTATTACTCAATCAAGAAATTCAGTTTTTGGGAACAACGGTGGTGAGGCTGTTATTGTTGTTACTAATATCTTTTCAGCATTTTTAATGGCAGATTTTAGATGCGACAGTTTGTCGACGAATTTGTCGCAGAGAAAATTGGTATGTGGACAAGGTTACTTAAGAAAATAGGTTAGATTATGTGGTTCCCGAATAACATTTGGGTTTCCCTAACGGGTAAACCATTCCACACGAATTCTAACAATGGTTGTTTACTAATTTTTGAAGTCGTCACACTATTAAATCACTGAATTAAGGGAGGGATTAACGTGGTAAAAGTTATTCTGGAACATTTTTTAAATTGCGTGTCCTGTGTGCCAGCATTGGGCCGTTAGAATTTCACCACAGAATATTAATGACCAGATGGCTTGCCCTGCTTTCTCACAGTCATCAAGCATTATCACGGTGCTTCGACATCTTAGGCAACTGCTCCCCCGTACTCACTTGTTCTTTCGAAAGTATGGAGACAATAAGTCTCCGGTTCCCATAAAGATGAACGAATATGTAATCGTGGCTACATCCAACTGCGAATTTAATCTTCAAAAATGAGTTTGATATCAGGTCTAAACATTTAAGATATGAATAGTAAAGAAACATTTACGCGAAAACAATCTCGGTCCTTTCTGAATTCTGTACACGAAGTGACCAAAGAAAAGTTTGTGTGTTTTTCATTTGTCACGGCCAAAATTCATAAAACCATGTATGTGATAGAGTGACCTCGGGCAAACCTGATTTCTGACTTCAAGAATCGCGAATCTATTGGATATTATCTGTAGTCACTGAATAACTGTTTCACCAACGAAGGCGGGCCGTATCATGCAGCGAACTTCGGAGTTGATTTGGTGTGAGCACAGATGCACTTGACTAAGCTAAGCATGCGTCATGGTGCCTGTGCCTGTCAGTACGATGTGCTTCCACTATTTCTGCACTTATAATCTCTTCGGGCAAACATCAGTGAACTCAAAAAGCGTGTTAGGTAACACAGCATTTGGTGTAGCCAGGATCCAGAGGTTTTGAATGCCTAACAATGTTTGAGAACCTCGAATTTTTAAATAAGGGATCGAGGTGAATAAGGAAACAGTTCTGTCTTAATTTTAGTTGGGTTAAAGGAGAATCGGTGAAGTCAACCAAAAATTTGAAACGAGCCCAATTGTTAGTACATACACCAATTTTCCTGACAAAAATTAAACTTCGGGTTTGTTGAATGCGTCCGAGGAAACCCAAGAATTCTTCCCAGGTCAGCTTTTCGATATTCACTGTTACCTGTTAGCCAAACGGGTAAATAGCATGTTTGGTAGTATGCAGATAACCGACGAACGTCTTTTATATCCGTATCTTATGTGAATTTCTGAGTAAAGTAGCAATAATCATCATGAAACAATACATGACCACTTTGGTCCAAAAAATCCCTAGAAGGGCTTTCTCGTGCACAATCGGTTAAACGACTTCGTACACGAAAAGCTTGTCAGAGTTTCAATTCAAACTCCGGTTCCTACAAATAACTGCGCAAATGGTTATCAATTTCAAATCTTTTTCTGTTTGAACAGTCGAAAAGATGGTGCCAAAGCTCCTCAATAAGTGCACCTTTCAACGACTGAAACATTGGTGAAGGCTAAACATCTGTTTACATGTGTTACGACAGATACACCCAGCCCGTGGTAGTCGATCGAGTGCCGGTTGGTTTGTCCGCCTAGTCTGACAAATGGCTTGCAAAAGTTTCGCCCCCAGCCGAGGAGATATCGCCAGTGCGCAGTTGAGAGGGAACTTCTTCCTTGCCTAGCTGCTTCCATTATGGTCTTGAACAGTATCTACTGACTAGCGTAGTCTCGTTTTCTTGGGTTTTGTTAGCCGGTTCTACTTCTCCGTTTGACATGCTTTATTCTTTCTGGTGTCAGCCGCTTTTCACCTGGAAAGACAATTTCATACCATTTTTTGTTGAATTACCCTCTATCTCTGTTCAATTTTTCGGTCCACTGCTAGTCTGGGAAAACGGGTTATTCCCCCAGAACCCAACCCGTATAAACTGGGTGCGTTACAATCGGTCATATAGTAACGCAACTTTCATTAAGTCTATCAAGGATTCAAGGATGCATCCAGCTCAGATACACATGCGACAAATGTTCCCATGTATGGTGGGTTTTCTTCAAAACGGAACAAATCCTCTGGGGCAAGCATTTCATGCATGCGTCTGGATTGTCAGGAACGTTAGTCCTCTAAACGTTCATCTTCCAAGCACCAAACCATGGGCGTACATAACTGAAACTGATACAAAGTTTATACGCGGCTTGTGGAACACAAGAAGCGGCTTCCCACTTTTGAAACAATAGAGTCCACTAAATGAACAATATAATATATATAACTTACCAATCCTTCCATCAGTGAGCCCATTGGGTTCTCTGTGCTTGTTTATCTGTAAACCGCTCTAGTCTGTAAAATACCTTTGTTCAAGGATTACTATTTTGTTGGTGGGACTTCCAGCATTCCGGCGAAGGAATTGCAGCAAANCACTAAATGAACAATATAATATATATAACTTACCAATCCTTCCATCAGTGAGCCCATTGGGTTCTCTGTGCTTGTTTATCTGTAAACCGCTCTAGTCTGTAAAATACCTTTGTTCAAGGATTTACTATTTTGTGGTGGGACTTCCAGCATTCCTGCGAAGGAATTACAGCAAATTCACCGAAGTGATTCTTGGAGTGTCTCAAAATATCCTAATGGCTATCTCATGCTGACCTTGGATTGTCTCAGAAAGATATACGAAAAACAAGAGCTAGAAAACCATGAATTAACCCAACTGCATGTCACCTTATCCTTGGATTTTTAGGATTTCGATGGCGTCATCTGGGAATGTTCCTGGTGAGTTTACGAATAAAGAAATTATATCATCTATGATAAGACTGCTAAAGTGAGCCTGGTTAAGAAACCACATTCTTCAGGTCAGACTTTGACAGGTTACTTTAAGTGTCATTTAAAGCAACAATTATTCTGAAGAATAACCAAAAAGGGCTTTTCACGGCAGAATAAATGCATTAGGATTTAACTGGTTTCGGTTTACAAATATTCACTAAGATCATGAAAAATTCATTGAATCCTCTATCTAATACCTCTCATTTTCCGCACTTCGGAAACAAATTTGAGCGAAAACCCTTCTTCAAGTTAAGCAGAGTGGCCTCGCTATTTTGCTGCTGCATTCAAGAGATTCAAGTAATGCTCAGATGGTACAACGGAAGACTTCGTCGTCTTTTGGTGGTTACGTACACATCCCAAAATCTAATATACATGTTGAGTCAATGGATGTTTTCAACCGGAAGGATTTTGGGCACACAAGATCAGGCGTGACTCAATAAAACAATTCTGAATAAATTCAGATCGCCGAATTGCAAACTGTGCTAGAGGAGACGATGCCCAAGCTGCACTAATGGACAACGAACCATGCACATTCCAATTTGTGAAAAAAGGATCCACTTGATTATTAAAAAAATGGAATCTGTGGTTCATACTAAATATAACATGCAGTTTGATCCCGCCATTTCTTTCCCTGCAGCCCTTTCTGCTTAGGTAAGTTGAATGCGAACAAACAAAATATACAATGTTATAATGAACACTTCATCTCTTAACGCACTACCCATAAGGTTGCTGAAAATTCGTCGACAGCCCATGACCGGTTTCGTTCTTCTTGTGCTTATCAGGTAGGCGCAGTCCCCGAGTCTCCGTAAACCTTACTTTCTAATTGAAAATAAATTGTACGCAATTATGGAAATACACTCATTTGCGAACAGATTTGGTTTTGCGAGAAACTCACCAGGATCCTAGCTGAAACTTCCTAACGAGAGATTCAGCTGGTGAGTCTCTCGCAACACCAAATTTGTTTCTGAATGAGTGTATTTCGCTAACTTCGTCTCTTGCTTAAAGTTTATTAAATTTTGGTGTTATAAGATACGTGTGACCGTGAATTTCACAAATTCACATTATATAGTAGCAAGTGAAATTTTCGAATGACGTACAGTTAGAATTCATCCGATGAATGAGACTTCCAGCAGAGAAGTCGTCACCCAAGGAGACAGTCATTTAACCCTGTGATACCACCC